GTGTGTGTGTGTGTGTGTCCCTTGCGTCTGGTCCCAGGATACACCACAGTCAGGTTGGGCAGAACTTCACCTTTGTGCTTACGGACATCGACAGCAAGCAGAGGTTTGGTTTTTGCCGTCTCACTCAAGGCTGCCGGGTCTGCATATGTCTGCTAAGGTAGTGCACGTGCACACTCACACAGAGACACACCCACACACGCATGCACGCACAGACACACACCACCACCACCACCAGTCCCTCTCCCAGCTTTACCTTTTTTTGAGGAACTCTTTTTTTTTTTTTTTTCAGAATCATTCTGTCCTAATGTACTGAGACTCATTGCAGTCTTTAACATGTCACCCATTTTTTTTTTAAAGGAATAAACGTATTCGATCAATTAAACAAATGTCAAAATAGAGACAACAGAAAGTCCCAGGAACTAATATGTCCTTTACAAATGCAAACATTTAAAGTTAGCCTTTCACATTTTACTTTCTAAATCAGAATCCAGTGAATATGTGAAACAAGACCTTGTTCAAACACCAGTGTCTTTACTTCAAATCACTGGACTGTTTTGCCCTTTTTCAAATGATCAACATATTAGTGTCAGAACCAGGTTCTTTAATATCTGCATTTATTTCTCAAGTGTGATGGGGAAACATTTTTTTTTTTCACACAACTTGGAAGTCTATAGAGCTTTTTGAGACAACATTTCCATTCATTCTCACGCTTCACACTGAGCTGCACTATGCCAGAATAACAAATTTATATTCTCATCTGCCCACACAAATATGTTAGTGGTGTGCCTATAATTATCCAAAAGTTTAGCAGTTTTTTGATATTTCACAGGTGGATTTATCATATCACAGGATGCCTAAATGAGGAAACCAAACCCAGGAAAATTACATTTTCTTCACATAATTACTCTTCAATAAGAGCTATTATCATTTAATTACCGTGTAATTGCATGTTGACACAACGTTTTTACACGTGTCCTCACCATCACAAAGGAAGCACTCCAGTGTTAATACCAGTGTACAGGCTCATGCACTTTTGAATAAACTGTGCAAAATATTTAAAATAAATACATTTTTAATGAGTGTATTAAACTGTTTAACAAACACCAAACTGGAAAAAGAGCACAAAGCCTTTTCTTTATCTCAGTGTAAAGCAGCACTCATGTAAGTGCTTCTGTATATATGTGTGTGTATGAGCGTGTATGAGCGTGTGCGTGCGTGTGCGCTCGGTGTGTGTGGCTGTTGATGGACAGTCGTGGGTTTGTCGCTGCCCTGATGAGCTGCTGTGAAGAACGGTGTCCCTCCTCCCCACACCACCCACCCTTCCCGGCCAGCTTCCATGGCCTTTGTGTTTCTTTTCTCTCCCTCCGTCTCTCTCTCTTCCTCCCTCTCTCTCTTTTCTCCTCGTTATTCGGCTACTGCCACAGTGCGACAGCAAAGACGCTTGGCCCATAATTATGCATGAAGCTTCGCTGCCAATTAGCAGAGGCTCCCCTGTCCCTCTCGCTGAGTTAGACATGCTAATTCATTTGACATATGATGTATAAAATTCATTATGCATTCTGAGTAGTTTGCATGGCTTGCTTCATTTATAATAAAATAATGTATAGGAAGTTTTATTTTTTAATTTCAAAATTGTTTATGTGCTCCTAGTTGCGGTTTTCTTTCTTTCTTTTTTTTTAACCATGATCTTTTTCCTTTTTCTATCTTAAACAGATTTGTGAAAAAAGTCTAAAACATAAATAACAGTTGAGATATCTCATTGAGGAAATGTGTAATTAAGTTCCTGTGTTCAAGGTTCTTGGTTTAAAAGTTTGTTTTCTTTGTTTAAAATAATTAAATCCATTTCCTTCACATTAGTCATGCAAGCCAGCATCAAAAAAAATAAAAAGTGGATTGCTTTGCTTCAAAAAGCTTGCAATTGTAGAGAACTGGTGAAAATACTTATTATATTAGTTGTTCATTCTAAAGAACTGTAAGTAAAAATGTGTCTGGTAAAAATCCAAAGCACAAAGGCCCAGGCCCCAATACTTTATATTAATTTAATCCATCATTTCCTATGGATACAAAATAAAAGTAATTAAAACAGTTTGCATCTGTGTGATTGTTGAAGTGCTGGGACCATAAAATTGTCACCTCTCCTTACGGGAGGAAGTGCCTTAATGAGTAGGACAGTTTTATGTGTACAGCCCTTTATAGTTTCATTGCTGAAGCTGTGGTCCAGAGAGCCAGGAAAAACATCCAACAAAAAAAAATGCGTACGAAAACACAGAATTATAACTGGTTTTATTTTTAAACTGTTACTCCCCTGTCTTCCCTCTTTCTTCTCTCACATTCAGACAGACTTTCTGATGAATGGGTGTGATACAGAAATGAAAAATAAGGATTTCCTCAGTTTTATTTAATGGCCGAGGCTTCAGCATACGTTTGAGGGACTGCGTTGCTCTGTTTAGTTGGTCACTTATGGACTTGCCAGATGACACTTCCTTCCCCTGTGCTTAACCCTTGACCTGAGAAGGTAAATGTGTAATGAAGTCTTCCACTGAGCCGTCTACAAAGTGTAAGATGACTTACGATTACAGGTGCCTGCGCTTTTAAAGGAAATTTAAGACTCATCGAAGGAACATGAATAAATGTCATGCTTAACACCTTACAAGTGCTTTATGGTGGCACGAAGGGCTGAAATTAGTGCTCTAGTATTAAGGTTTCATCAAACAACTAAGCACTGAGGTTTATAGGTGCAACATGTGAGAGAGAGTGTCCACAATATTCTGAGCTTTTGTGGACGGTTTGTTTTATCCCACTCTAAATTTTCATCGTGGATGCAACCAACTCACTTGAAAGATTTATTCCAGTGAGGCTGCTGTTTGTCTGTGTTGCTCTCCCTGAAAGCATGATTGTAAAAAGTTCCAAAGACACGTCCATGGCCCTATCGTTTATCAGACCATCTCCCAGCAAAGGAATATCTGAGTCTGGGATGGAGAGCACGGCGAGCTGTGAGTGGGCCACAGATTAACTGGTTCATTCTTTGAATACATGGCACTTTGAGGAGACATGTGTTTAAAATGGCAGGAGAGATTGCGGGGCCCCACGCACTGAGCACGCCAGTGATGGATGCCTCTCTCTATCGGAGGATTTGCGAAGCACAAACAGATCTGAGCAATGAACTGTGAAGAGTAGGAGTATCTCTCTAAGCTTTTCTAAACTTTAACTTTACATCAACAAAGCCAGCAGAACGGGTGGGGTGGGGGGTGGGGGTAAAATAAAACAATACACCTCTATGTTATATATATTCTGTTGTATTTGAACAAAGCATAAATAATTAATTAGCTATACTGTAGGACCATGTTGGAAAGAATATTGATAATTTGGGCTTGGCTGCCTTCCCCATACTGATCATGCATTTTCCTCTAAGACAAAGGATTTCCAGCACCTCGGTGTAGGAGTGTAATGACTGTGAGAACAGTGAGGCCTGATGGCTGGCCCTACTGACAGCCAGAGCCCTATTTACATCTCCTCCTACTGTGATAAATGAAGGATTAATGTCCAGAAGCCTGGCTGTTTGAACGCAGTCTTTGTTCCCCCCCAAGTCATTATATCAGGCTGAAGTTTTCCTGTAATGGTTAAAAGTAAAATGACCTCATATGCAGATATTTGCATGTTGTTTGACATGGCAGAAATAGGTCTTCAGGTTGATATCCGGTCAGCATGTGCATTAACATACGCGTGTTTGATTTGGCCTCTCCTGCGAGTGTGACCTGATTGCAGTGAATCTCATGCAGACGTCAAAATATTGGCATGTTAAGAGGCTGATTGTTTCAGACTAATGGTCACTCAGCCTCTCTGATTGGTGCGCTTGGCTGCACTTCTTCGGGAACCCGGCCTGTCATTGGCCCCTTGTGGATTTAGCGATAGGAAAATTTGCATTAGGTTCACTTTATTGTTTTCTTGTTGTCTGTTAATTCCAGTCTACAGAGCAGCCAGTGACCCATGCCCTGGATACTCCTTATTCTCCAGCTAACAGGACGTCTTCGGCTTATAAACTCACACCCTCAAAACTCTGACTCTGACAAATGAATTATATTATCATGGAAATGCAGATTTTATCTTTCTCAGATTAATTTTAATTGAATTATAGTTTTTATTTTATTTAAGACAATTCACTTACAGCCATTTTTTTTACAAAATTCAATAAAAACATATAGGCATCCACTGATTGACTAATTTGATTTTCAACTCATGTATCCAGTTAATTAAACATTAATGGGAGTTTCTGTTTATTTCATTGCGATGCTAATAAGTTCTTTATAAAGAACTATTAACCATACAATGTTGGAAATGACAAGTTAAAACCCCCAAACTAAATAAAAATTCAATACCTTGATTGGACATTATTAATTAATTACATAACATTTAATGAACTGAGCCCTAACAGCTTCTATGCCAAAAAGAAGATGTTGGCCACCTTCCACTCAGATTGCAAGTGGACTTGGCCAAGAATATGTCAACTTTGTAAAGAAAGCCATGCTGCAGATGCTTTTAGCTTATGCTGGGTGTTCTTAGTGATTAGCTTTAACACAAACACTGCAGTATAAATTATTTTGAGCTTGTTAATGAATTTATTTATTGCATGTTCATTACATAAGGCAACGATTTTTTTAAATACGTGAAGGGCATAAAAAGAAGCAAAGGGGGGGTGGGGGCAGGAGGCATCTTGGGCTGCATTTTTGTTAAGCTTGTGCATCTGGGAGCAGCATGCTTGTAAACCATAGCATCCCTCCACATCACATTAAAGCCATGGGTTTTTTTTTTTGGGTAAAAGATCTAAAATCTATTGTTTTTTTCTTCCACCCTGTCGTCCTATTGGCTTAAAGAGCAGAAATGTCAAGAATTCATAGCATGTGGAGAGCCCTGGGTGTGAAGAATGTTAAAATACAGACTCTTCTCTTCTTTCAATGTAACAATGACATTGGAGGAGCTGTAGTGAAACACAAACATTTTTCCATGTCCTGTATACATCTGATGTATTAGGTTGCAGACATTAGCCAGTAGATAAATCCAGTAATATTATAAGAGTACATTTACAAACTGTACTTTTGTACAGTGTCCAGCACAGAGTGAAATTATTCATAGACATTGTGACAAAGTTTCCAGGAGAAAGAATCTCACTGCATATGATGTACTTCTACATCCTGCAGGAATAGAGACCCTGTGATGCATCATATGATAATCTGTTGTGGTTTGTTCAGTGCATTTTATTTGTTTAATGATTAAACAATAAGAATTGGTTAATGTTGTTCACACCTTTGTTTTTCTGTCTCTTCCAGTTATTTACCATGGTTTGAAATCTACTACAAGCTGCTAAACACCCTGGCAGATTACCTAATGAAACAACAGGTAATTATTGAGTTTATGTACATACAATGCTTTGCAAGAACACAATATGAAAATAAGACATGGTTGTATGATTTGACTCAGAAACAAGTGCACAGTTTTGTGTTTTTGAATCTGCACTGTGGTAAGATATTTCTCTCCATTCTGTTCTTCCTCTGGATGCTGCATGTTATCTTTTGTGTGCAAGTTTTGTTCGGCGTCTTGGGCTCGACTTGGCTTCTGTTGTTAGCAGCAACAATGTTGACATTTCACAGACCAAACGCTGATCTGACACTGGAAGTTATTCCTGATGATTTACTGGAAAACAAGTCGTTAAGAAAACACACACGCACATACACACACAAGCGTACGCACACGCACAAATGCTCGCATTTTACAAAAGTCTTTTCCCCTGACTATTCACTGCATTGTACGAGCAAAGGGAGGGGAAATGTAAAATATGCAACAAACTGGGGAGATGTGCAGCGTCTAGCGCAGAGGGTGTAGGTGATGTTCCTGTGTTTAGAAGAGAGAAGAGGGAGATAGAGGAGGAAGGAAGGAGGGAGGGAGGGAGGGAGAGAAGAGGAGAGAGGCAGAGAGCTTTGGGACTGCTTTCAATTGTCATGTAGTCACTGCTTCCCCTCAGAGACACTCAGAGAGTAGTGATCAGGACTCAGACTTTTGCTAAAGTAGACAGTCACATAAACATATACACATTTCTCTGACTGAAAGGAATTCAGGAGGATAATCTATTACATACATATATATATATATATATATATATATATATATATATATATATGCATGTATAATATATATTTATTTTACAAATGTATATATATAGAGAGGGAGAAGCAGAATAGGATCCTTTTGTGTGTGGGAAAGAATGAGGAAGAGAGAGACAGAAAGATTGCTGGAAATCCTGAGTGAATGAAGTGTTAGTGTGCATGATTTGGTTTCTATTTACCCCGCTGTCCGTTCCAGGCGAGAGGGAGATGTTGACAGACGAGGGAAGACAGAAGAGCGATGAGGGTTTAAGGCGAGGGGTAAATGAACTGTTTCCCCAGGCCGTGTTGCTGACCATGCGTGTGAGCATTGAGCCTCTCATGACAGGAGGCTGTTCGATTGCACACACCCCGACTCCCCCTCGTCCTCTCCCACCCTCCTCCTCTTTACTGTATATTGCCACCCATCCCTCTTGAGTTTGTGTTTCTCTCTGGCTCACAAACACGCACACACATGCACATTTCCTCAAACAAACAACTGCTCATAGCCAAAACGAAAACAAAGTTCCCTGAGAGGGCAACAGAAAAAGAAGCTAAAACCAAACAATGCTCAACCTCTGTGTTCACAGTAGTTATTTAAGTACACGTTGCAAAGTTTTGTCCCCCTTCAGTTTTGCAGCCATTGGTTCAGGAGTGTAAATAGCAGTCTTGTTGTAGAGCTCATAAATGCTGGTGGAACAATCTCGGGGCCTAGTCTGTGGTCAAGCCGTCTCTATGACGGCTTCTGAAAGCCCCCATCTTCAGAGCGTAGACCCCTGCTTAATTACCGACAGCCCTCTCAGCCATAAATCAACGCTGCAGGATAATAAGCGTCTGCAGCCCTACACTCAGCCGTCTTTTAACCTCACCACTGCTCGTTAAACATATGTCAGTCGGATGTTTTGGAGCCCTTCAGGCCTCACTGCAGGATTGCCCTCTGGTCTGCATCAGTCCCAACGCTGTTGTTAAGATTGACACATAACTTGCGACACAAGTAAATAGAAATTATTTAGACTCTGTGTTTTTATGTTTTTTTTTGGTTTCTCCCCCCAGGAAAATGACTTGAAGGACATGCTGAATTCTCTCTTTGATCTGCCTGTGCCAAAGCCCTTCACGCCAGTCAACCTGAGTGTGGTAGGTATAGATCTTATATTCCCCCTTATCAGAGGTAAGACAGCTTAGAGTAGCCGCAGAAAGAGAGAGGAGAGAGAGCCAGGTTGGTAACTCTGGTAGTGTGTTGCATCAGGATAGGGGCTGTAGCACTAAAGACAAAATGTTTAACATGTGGCTTTCAGTCATGCACTGAATATTATATATTTTCTTTAAAATTTCTGCAAGTCTGTCAGTAAAATGTCTGCGTGAGCCCATGTGACAAGACAGCAGGAAAATGTCTGCAGTGAGTGAGTGGACGTATTGATGAAGTTTCACATTCACTAGATCTGGACTTTGATTTGGATCTCCAGCAAATTACACAGACTTATAAATATCAGTCCCCTAAACACTAACACTACTCTCTGAGAAATCAAAGAAATTAAAAAACGCCATATCTTGCAATATTAAAGAAATTGGAAAAAAGTGGATCCCCCTCAAAATTGATTTGGTACAGTACAGTATCCTTTCACCAAGGTTTGTGCGAATATGTCTGGAAGTTTTTGTGTAATCTACCTAACAAGCAATTGGACAGGTATGAAAACAGAACCTCCTTGGCAGAGATGGAAAAAACAAAAACAATACAAATATCTCAGGATGAAAAAGAGGTGCCACACACGTCGAGGAAGCCGACAAAGTTGTCAACCTGGAAACCAAACGAGATTCGAAATTTTGGTGATAAGGGCAGATGTTAATGTGCTGTAAACAAAAACATGATTTTCACTGCAAAATCTACACATCGTGATCTGCCTCTCACGCTCTACCAAGATGCCACTAACCTGAACACTCATCTGACCACGACAATCTCCTGCTGCGATCTACACATGTTAAAGGAAAAACATTTTAAATCGCTCAGATATTGTCTAGAGTTCATGTTTTAAAAATGGCTTTTAAAAAAAGTGGAGACAAAGAGGGAGAAATAATGAGAACCAAAGTGAAATTGACACAAGGAGGAGGAGACAAAGACATGGCATGAAAACAGAAAACATGAAAAATATGGGGCAGACAAGCAGGAACAGGGAGAGATCAACAAAGTAAAGAGGTTGAGATAGAGGAGATAAATGAGCGAACAGCAGAGCAGAAAGAAAGTGGGCAGCCGGAAGAGGTTAAGATACTGTAGGTAGGAAGAGGGAGACACTGAGGGCCCACGAGTGACACTCTGTTTGAAAGCAAGAAGTGGCGCTAACAGGTTTCTTTGTGATTTGCCTGAGCTGGGCATGTTTAAACTTGAAGGGTCCTTTCACAACTTGTCATGTCTCCTGCTTATCAAAAAACTGAAATGGATTAACGACCCCAGATCCCTCAAAGTCCGCCTGTGTTTGTGTTAACTCTGACACAATCTCCTTGTCTGGTTCCAGCTCATACATAAAGAAATCACTCTTGAACTCACATAAACCTCAACCAATATAACGGTTTTCAATGGGATTGTTTAACTTATAATATTTTTTTTTTTCACTAATATCTGTATTTTTGAGTTGCTCAGGCTCATGGGATCAAAAGAGTTTCAGCGTTTGTCCTCCAGGACCAACCCTCCTTTTTTCTTTTTTTTTCCTACCAATTAAACAAGCAACTCTGGGTCTTTTCTGCGGCACAGGTCTCAGAAGGAAACCCATCTAATTACACAGATGAATATACAACATAACAATACTAATAAGAGGTAATCAATACATCTCCACCAAGGTTAACAAGGTCAATTAAGATTCCTTGTGATTTATTTTTTCTTTGTCAGTTTTTTTCATCAGCTCTCCATGAGAACAAAACCTTTTCATCTGAGTCTCAGAGCTTCATTGGAAAAGAAGCCCCAGAGAACAGAGGTGATAGCTTCATCTCTTTTTCTGGAGAAGCCACTAGTTTGATATTTAATTGATGAAGCAGAATTATTCCCTAAAAGAGTGGTTTTTTGTTTTATCATGGCAGCCAAGAAGAAGGATCATTGTCCCCTTTCATGTGTGAACCCTGTTTTGCTCTCTCTCTCTCTCTCCCCCTCTCTCATTGTGCAAGAATGAGCAGTTGTATATTGCCACTGGGCAAGTACTGAGAGATCGGCGAAGCAAGGAGCCGGTGAGTGGAGGGGAATGAGTGAACAGCAGAGATGGGAGGAGGGAAGGAGGCTGCTGTGTAATATGAAACCGTCGCTGCACTAATCGCATGGGAGTTGCGGCTTTCCAATTTGGCCAAATAAGCTGCTCTATCTTTTTAAATATAACAAAAACAAACTATCCTGGGCCTTGGTGTGTGTTTCTTCTCTTCTGGAAAACAATCAAACTTTGTAAATGATTAATGCCATTCCACTCTGCGATATTCTCTCTCTGAATATCAAAAGTTTTTTTTTCTCCACACTCTCTTTATGTTTAAAGCAAAGGCAATTGTGCTCAAAAAATCTCCTTGATGCCTCTCCAGTTAACCCACTTTCAATGTTTTTATATAAACATGTCATCGAAAGAACAAGAAAAAATACTGATAAGATAAGCAAGCAAAGAGCCAATGAAAGCCCGGGTTGAGTTGAGGAGCATGGCTTGTGATTATCACAATAGCATGAATTTACAGACCAATGGGGAAGGAAACATTTAGCAGACAGAGGAAAGAAAAGAAAGAGTGGTGCCAAGAGATTTCCACTGTACGGTAAACTGTTGTTTGTGTGGCAGTGACGGGGGGTGTCCAAATCTACTTACGTCTTTTATCACAATTTTACTTATTTGACTCATATAGTTTATAATTGCCCTGTTACTGGTTCTCTTTTCGGTTGGTTTACAGAAGTTTATTATGAAACAAAGATTTTTAATGCTGTTACTACAAGTGCTGCCCAAAAAACATTCCTATAATTGAAATGATTAAACCATAATGTTGCCAATAAAACACACAGGCAAGAGAAGCGAGTAATACAGTGAAAATCTGACTTCATTTTAAGATGTTTAAAGTTTTCAGGCATAGTTTATTTCACGTGCATGACAGTAACTACTATTCACTATTTATGTTCTATAAAATCCACACCGCTAATCACGATCGCTGTTTACCCCAAAAATCTGCAGCTCAACACAGCTCAGCCCAAGATTCATTAACTGTCCTCAGAATAAACTAATTAAAATCTTTAAGTACTTCTTGCGTTTCCAGCTGTATATTACTGCAGGGCAGAAAAACCTGACACTTTTGCTTCTGTCTCGCTCACAGGCAAAAAAGCACTTTGTAAATAAAACAGTTATTTAAAATGATATAAACGTGTATATTAAACTTGTATATTGAGCCTAATGCTGCCACTGGAAACATGGTAAAAGAGAGTTTATACTGAATTCTAACAAATTCCTACATTGCAAACAGATTTCCAGATGTGTCAGCTAAAGTTAGAATTTAAAAAAAATAACAATTGCCTGTTTGCTTTTATAGACACATTTTTAAGTCATAATGGTAGCTGTGTAAAATATGAGTATGGCTGTGATAATTGAAACATTATGACGAATCCACTTATCCTAAAGACTTGAACGTAGGAGTCAACATTAACATCAATCTTTTGCCCAGAGAAAAAAATTCAGAAGGCAAAGCTCTGGATGTTTGTATCAGGTTAGAGTTTGTTTGTGCTGCATGTTCGTCTCCTCTAAGCTTTATTGAAACTACAATGAATGAGCCCTCTGTGGGAATATGACAATTCTCTACACATGGTGATTTCATGTTCAATAAATTATTAGTTTGTGATTTATTTGTTCATATTGTCTATTTAGCAGTTTCAGAATCATGCACCAGAACAATTCTTAACAGCAGCACTTTATGCTCATGTCCAACATTATAGTTACAAGAAAATGAATCAGTTAATTAAATAATGTCATGGGTTAGGGTTAACCTGCACTAAATCAACTTTTGAGTTTTCTCAGGACATTAGTATAATTTTGGTACTATCATTTCCTTTCCTACATTTCCTCTCTGGCTGTGAGGGGCTTCCTCTCTTCTCTCATCATCTTTAGTCTCTACAATCAGAGACGTCTTTCTCTTTATTTTGAATGCCTCACCATGTTTATTCTAAGCCATGTTGTTGATATGATGTATACCTTTTATTTATCGAAAATAAATTATTATTTATGTGTATATCTCTTTAAATACACATTTTTCTGTTTAGTTTGCCCCAGAGGTGCAGTTTTGTGCCACTAATAAATTGAAAGAAAACGTGTTTTCTAGTCATGCTTCGTCTATTGATTCAATACCTTCTTACCACCAAAGCTCAGGTGCTGGATGCCATTCTTCCTGCCACTAGAGCCACAAATAAATTCTTTAACGCTACAGCAAACACTGACTATGTGTTTGCCTGATATAATTTGCAAGTCCATAGCGATAAGCCATGTACATATTGAATACATTGTAATCTTTCACTGTACTTACTTTGCTTGCAGTGTGAGAACAACTACTGTCCACGCTACAGTGGATTTCCGCAAAGACCTGCAACAGATGGTCGAGTGGAGGCCTAGAGAAACTCAGGTGTACTGTGGATACAGGAGAATGTGTGTGAGAGACACAGCAGAGTGTTTGAGTTGGTGGTTTGTCTACCTGTCTCCAAACAGCACCTCTCTCTGGCCCCTTTGATCTGAACACCGAACCTACCCTGCTCTCCCAAAGTGAGACAGGCAGCCCTGTGATCCTCTAAACAACCTGTGTGTGTGCACCAGCGTGCGTCTGTGGATGCACACGTGTGCACATGTGCACAAGTACTTTTGTCGGTGTCTTGGTGCTCCACAAGCCTTTTTAATGCTTAAATAAAGACTCAGTTTTCCACCGGAGACATCACCCCAGTCTGTGTCTATGGGGAACGGAGCTGCTATTGAGCTTTCTCTGTTCTGTTGGCCTGATAAAAGCATTGCCACAGTTCAGACACCAGCTCAGCAATTCATATAGACAGAGCTGAAGATGAGCTATAAATCATAGAACAAAGTGAACAGCCTTTTCCCCCTGTCTTCCCCTCATTCTCTTCTGTGAGTGGTATGCTTCGCTCGTGACCTTCCCTCTTCTTTCTCCCGCATGTTTGTGTTTTCGCAGCACTCCTACTTCATTGCCCCGGATATCAATGGACTACCAACGATCCCTGAGAGTGTAAGTACACACACAAAAAGAAAAGAGACAGAGGGAGTCAAAGAGAGATCCCCCCCCTCTTCTGGAAACATCTCTGCCTCTAATCGTTTTTAATCAGATACACTTGTCACCTTTTGAAATTATTGCATCATCGTCTTGTCTCAGCTTTAGCTCCTGTGGTGCTCGTACTTTTAAGGTTGAAGTTCAGTGATTGCCACGGGTATTAGAGGATTCAAACTGAACACATGTTCTTTGTTGAGCTTGTATTCAAATTGTAGCTCAACGTGAGCTTAGCAAGTTTTTATGGCAAGATGGAAGACCAGATTTGAACAGTCATCAATCTGGCAGTTTTAAGCAACATTGATTAATATGGTATCTAATTTCTAAATGCAACTACTATTACTACTTGTTTTGAAAAAAGATGTAATGTCATAACAGCAAAACAATATGTGCAGACTTGGAAGTCCAAGTCCTTTTTCAGCCAGTACTACCTGTCTCTCTTTATGGCACATTGTGGCCCTTTCACCATCTGAGGCATCAACGCTTGTAAGCAAAGACAGTTTGTTATGTACCTTCTGTTCCTGTCTATCTCCAGAGGAACCTGACAGAGTATTTTGTGGCTGTGGACGTCAACAACATGCTCCAGCTCTACGCCAGTATGCTGCACGAACGACGCATCATCATTACCTCAAGCAAGCTTAGCACTGTGAGTCCACTCTCTCCAAGTCATCCTCTCAGTTAGAGTTATCTGCTGAAGGAGAAAAAAAACATCCTCCAACTGTCTGAACATTGTGGGTGTAGATTTAAGTTTCTTTAACATTTGAATCAGGTTTCAATGGTGTTGGTGTTTGCAGTTTGCCATGTTAAAGTCTGTGGGATTCTTCTCTACTATCTCTCTTGCATCCCAAGCAAAAAAAAAAAAGATCAGATATGAGAATATGACTATAAATTAGCCACATGGAGTTACGGTTGCAATTTTTTGGCTTCATATCAAATTCAGATATTGAATTACTCTGCCAAAAAAGTGTATTGCTGAAATGTTGGGACTATTCCCCAGATTGAACATGATTCTCTTCATCAATATTCAAACAGGATATCAAACCCTAAGTAGTATGATGAGAATATTTATCTGACATGGCTACACCACTTGTAAGGAGAGCGTTGAACTGATCTGTCGGCCTCCCCACCCAGACATCCTGCAGTCAGGCAGCCGCACTATCGCCAAGCTCTGACAAGCTGTGAAATCCACACTAGAGCTGGATTATATTTGACTGTTTGTCTTATAACTGCAACATATTAATGGGCGAAAAGCCTTAAATTATCCGTTATTATGTGTCTCAGCTCTTTCACATAATTTAGAGTCACTTCAGTCTGTACGAGGGAGGAAATCTCTGTCTTTCTCCCCCTTCCTCCCTCTGTTCCTCATTCCATCCTCCTCCCCCTGTTATCTTTGAGACTGATGAGGCAGAGCCGAATGTTTATGACAGATGAGATGGAAGGGGGAAGTGATGTCATCCAAGTCGTATCTGTATCTGCAGTGTAGCTGCATGGTTCTGCCTCGGTATCTATGTAGAAGACTACTGAACACTGAACAGCCGGAGGGGCCTGTGGTGGTGATGGGTGCTGGAGGAAACGGTACCAGGGTATCCCGCAGGAGCTATAATCAGTACGAGGTGTAGAAATTACCCAGCCCTTAGAGAGTTTCACCTGTCTCCTCTCAGCTCTTTGGACCAGCAGCACCCCCTCTCAGGGTCTAGGCAGCACACTGTGCTGTGACACGAGGTTACACGATGTAAATTACCAGACTCAAGGGTGAAGGTGTTTTTCTTTTTAGAGGGAAAATGGGTTGGAGGTGATTTTTGTCTGTGATTTACAGTTTTCTGCAGAGACAAATCTTGGCTTGTTTTTTTTTTTAAATACAAATATATGCCGACAGGATATTTTAAGAGCTTCCACGTCAGACCTTTACCTCTGTAAGCCTTTTATCCTCTGCAATCCTTCCTCCACTCATCTGTCTATCCATCCATCTTCCTCGGGGAGAGGTGTTTTGGTTTGGTAGCGATATATGTCAGGCACTGTAGTACAAAGGTATTTTACACATCCCCACTGGGATTACTAGCAGGCCTCGTGTTATTACTGCTCCTGTGATGCGTTATTTTTTGCTGCTGGGTAGATTGACCTCCTAGTTCAAGTGGAAATGGCTGCCATGATTCTTGAAGCCAGCGATGTAAGTGTATATATGCTAAACTGAAAAAAAGAGAGTGCAGCTCATTATCCACACCACTTGTCTTGTGATCAAATATCTTAAAGGATGAGAAATATATAATTAATGTCAGTTTGTCAAAATGTTTGTTAAAGTGAGTGTTAGCAGTCAGCGGATAGACAGGTAATGTTTCTATAGTCAGCTTGCCACAGATATAGAGGATGTATGAGAGAAGGTATTGTTAGTATCATCGTTAGTACCATCCAGCTGCTTTTCACCACCTCCGCCTGTCCAGCCTCTCAGCCAAGCAGAGAGAAACAGGGAATTCAAAGAGTAGGGAGAGAGTGAAAGACACACACACACACACACAGATGCACTGCATTTATTCTGCCTGCTCTAGGTGCTGCCTGTGTTAAAGCCCCCGGTGAACCCACTGTGTCAGTCTGTCGGTACATGGCCGGCATGTCTTGCAAGCAGCCAACAGCAAAGGAATAAATCATGATCTTACAACAATGCGTCAGTTGACTCATTGCTGTTTCGTGACCAGAGGTGAATGGTACTACTGTTTTAAAAGGCCGGACGGCGGTGGCACAGGGGTGGGAGCCAGCCGAGCGTGCAGCCTTGTCATAGGGCCGTATAATAGGGCTGCATCGGCCCTTCCTCTAACTAGTCAGTTGGGAGGACCCCCACCACCACCACCACCACCATCGCCCCACCACCCTCCATGTCTTTCATCTGCAGAGGCCCCCCAGCTCTCGAGCCCAGCCTCTGCCCTGCCTATCGCCCAAACTCACACAGCTCAGCCCCAGCACCAGCTGACAGCAGCCCTCTCATCAGCCTGTCAGGCCTATGCTAACAAGGAGCTATCCATCCACCATGCCCTAGAGTGCCAGCTGTCTCTCTGTTTCCTGCCTTTTCCTCTGTTGTTCCTCTCCTCTCTTTCCCTGACTTCGGTCTATCTCTCTATTTCTCTCTATCTTAGTTATTCCTGCTCACTGATATTTTATGTCCATCTGTCTCTCCTGGCCTCTGGCTGCACCTCTCTTTCTCTCTGACTTCACCTCCTTCTTCCTGGGTGTCTTAATGTGTCTCTCTGTTGTTGTTGCATCTGCAGAACATCAGGACATTCTCCCCTTCCCTCCTTCCCTCCTTCCCTTCCCCTCAATAAACTTATTTCAGCCCCGTGCCATGTGTCTGGCTGTAACGTTTGTGTTGTGGCACCGGGGCCGTGTATGTGCACATGTGCACGTTGTGGGTGTTTGTGCATTTTTTGCATGCATCTGTTCATGTGCGTCTCCTGCACTCACAGGTGTTTGTACCTTATGCCGTTTGTCTTTCTGTTAGAGTCAGTGACCATGTGTGCATGTGTGGGAGGCCTGGCGTTAGCTGTTACCTGCATGGTCGTGTGTGCCCTCTCTCTCGCTCTTTCTCTCCCTGTGCCACCTACTTGTTTGTGGCACACCTCCGTAGTGCTGGGCCTGACATCGCTGTACGTCAACAGAGGGAGAAGCAGTGTGCAGGTAATTGGTGATTTAGTTGGTGCAGGTGAGGGGAGAGGGAAAGGCTAACACAACTATAAGCAAACAGGAGAAACAAGGGAGAGATGGCAACGTACAGAAAGACAGCATGAGGGGAGGAGGAAAACAGAATAAGAAATTAACTGGGATGAAAATTAGATGTGGAAAGTAGTAGAGAGAATTTAATTTGGAGGGTGAGTAGGGATAGATTTGGAAGGAAAGGCTGGTGGAGGGGAAATGATTGTTTAAGGCTGGTGTGAGGAGGTCAAGAACAAGTCTGTTGATACCATTCCTCCTGTCAAATTGAATTACGTTGCCTGGAGCAGCAGTTATTTGTCTCACACTCTACTCTCACTAAAATTTAACATGTTCAACAGGTTCCTCCTTCTGAGAAGATTATTTAACCAATAAGAGTAGCTGTTGAATCTGGTAAAATGGCCCATTCACCTTTTTAACTGCCCCTTACATGTAAAATAATATGTGAGAGATGGTGTAAGCAGGTCCCACCGTCGCTTTTTCTCCATTTCTGTCTGCTTCACTTCAACATGTCCAGTTGCTTAGGTTAAGAGGAATGGTGTGGGTGGAAACACACTGCTGGCTGACACAGTGTGCAGAGCTCAGAGCTGCAGTGTTGAGACAACCTAAAATCTCTGGTGGGTCCAGTTCTTAAGGGAAACATCACTGTTGGGTTGTGTTGCCGTTCAGGGCAGGTACAGGGACAGTGAGTTGTGGCAGCTGTTTGTCCACTCGTCTTATTCACTGGTGAAGTCAGTGTGTCAAAAATAGTTAAATTCGTGTAGAAAAAACACATCAGCTGTATTCATGCTACATACAGATTCTAAGCATGCTTTTACTATGTGGTACGTGTGCTGTGTATAAAAGTTGATATTTGAGTGTGCTGTTGATGGATGTTACTGTCCCATAATGCACTGCACATAAAAGGAGGAGTTTCTCACAGCTGGTAAATATTAGAAGAAATTATGACTTGTGGTGAAAGAGCTTTGTAAATGGCAGAAAACAAAAACAACTTTTATTATTAAAACTTTTATTGTCTCATTTGTGAAGTTTCATTCCAAAGAAGTAGTTTGATTGACATCCAATGTGTTTTTATGAATGTATACAAACTGCTAAAGCAATATACTAAGACATTTATTATGTCGTATACACTGTAGACTGTATATCGTCAAGACACAGCCAGTGACTCACACCCAGACCACTTTATTGACAAAACTCGTGTGTGACCTCTTAGCTGCAGTTTATTGCTACCTACTTCAAAGTTGCAATGCAAATTTTCTTTCTCTTTTGTCACTTCTTCCACTTTCTTCTCCGCCTCTTCATCTCCGTAAATCTCCCTGTCTCTCTCTTTTCTGTCTCCTCTTCCTTTAGTGTCGTTGAATGGATCTGGGTAAACCAGTGTTAGTGTGGACACTTTCTGTCTCAGCAACAGCGCACTAAGAAAGCTCTCAGGGCAGAACCAAAGACCTTGACTGTTTTTTGAAGCAGGCTGTCGCTGTATAATCGGTTAGCTTCTCTCAGAGGAAGGGGCAACACACACACACGCACACAGTGTGAGAGTCAGGCAGCCCCTCATTACCAGGCAGAGCCCTGGTCCCTGAGGACTGGACCCAGCACCTAATCCCGTATTTGTTCTTGGGGACTGTATCTGTGATTCTCCATTGAATGGAATATTAAGCACCCAGGTCTTTTGTGGAGCGTGTAAGCCATTTGGCTCCACTCATCTATTATTTATCAGCCTGGCAAATATTTTATCAGCCTTAGCCTCTCATGACCCACTCTCATGTGAAGTCCCCCCCTAAATGAGGAAGAAAAAAAGAGAGGAGTACAATTTCTCTTTTTTCCCCCCATTTATCTTCCCTTTTTACTTTTTGCCTCATTCGTTCTAAAACCTGAACAAGGACACAGGGATTCGTATTAAGCTCAGTTACAGGAGCAAATATGTGAACTATTCCCCTGCAGTTCCCTCCAAGTTGCCTTATCTCAGGCACACTGCCACCTCCATCGCTTTGGAGATAACAAATAAAAGAAAACAGGAATCTAGATTTGCTTTATAAATCATTATCTTAGTTTCAGTGTCCCCCCCCCC